GTGATGCATATAATACACATTATACAGTGGGAGCAGAGTTGTTTTAGGATTTCATATATATATATATATATTGGATTTGAACAGATGGAAAATGAGTATACAGTTAAATGAGTTAGACTTAGGTGAGATTTATGTGATGCGTGTTGTTGCTGCGGTGGTTCATTTAATTTTGTGTGTTTTTGAAAGTGTGTATTGAAATTGTATATTGAGTAGTTTTAGACAGTGGCATCAGATGATCAGGTCCACACAGATGATCAGGTCCATCAGGTCCACACAGATGATCAGGTCGATGATCAGGTCCACACAGATCAGCAGACCAGAGTCCCCAGACAGGAGGCGCTAACAGAGAGAAGCTGCCGACATCACCAGTCCATCGGAGGACACGTTGAGCCGAGCGGAGCCGAGGAGCCTCTTCACCAGGTGAGCCCGAAGCCTCCACACGACACCAAGAGACGACCCTGATAACTGTCACTTCAGCTAACAGCGTTAGCACCGCTAGCCAGTCAAAGGTTAGCGCTAGCAGGCTCGAGTTGCTAGCTGCTGTTAGCCGCACGGCTAACATCTTGAAACAGGAACCGGTGTGTTCGTATTTCTCGTTCATGTTTCGCTTACTGACATGTGTCTTATTCACAAGTGTGTCTTTGTCGAATGCTTTAACTTCAACAAGAGGGAAACGGTGAATGGTTCTTCGGTTGAAACTTGTTGTGTTGGTGAAGCAGCAGCCGGTCAAAGTTTGTTGGATCCCTGCCTTCGTGGCTGTGGGTCACACACCGGGAGGCTGTACGATCGTATAGACGTGAATGTAAACGTGCACATGCCACATCATTATGAACTCATATATCATTGAGGTCACTGCCACAGCTGAACTCATCCACTCCTTTATTGAAAGACTGGTTTCGGTTCCACTCCCTCATCATCACCATCCGTGGAAACGCAGCCAGGCAACACTGTGGAGAAACTTGAGCTGCTGTAATGGAGAGAACAGGGAGGAGACTGGATCAGATGTAGATCAGTTCTTCATGTGGGACAGAGACAGACTCAGGGCTGCCGGGACGTGGAGTTCTTTATGGGATGCGTGAGAAGGAGAAGAGGAGGAGAGGACAGGCCCGATGGGTACAGCGTGTTCAGTTTGTTTAGTAAACTATCAGCCCGGAAATAACAAGGAGCTAACGTCACTGGTCAAGCCTGAGGTGAGACACTAAACTACCTGTTTGTCTGGATCCCCTCACCCTCTGAGTAATCTGCTCACGGTGACTAAACAAGAAGCTGTTTGACTTTTTACTATGACTTTCAGCTGCACGCACACTGGAGATAGGTGTTGCTGTGTAAAGAACCATCAAATTAGCATGTTTAGCAGTGGTAAATATGATTATACCATATATGTATATATCTACTATTTCCTCACTTCTTTCTTGAAGACTTTAGAGACTTCAGGACTGAATGTGACCATGGAGGATGTGCCAAACACAGACCACTTCAATATCATTGAGCAGCTGGTAGATGGGGAGTATCACCTAACAAAGGTACACAAGCAGTCGACACCCGAATAATTTGACCTGTAAATGAGTGTCAATGGTGTTTTCCAGAATGTCCCTAACCCTTTTCCTTTCACACTGTGATCATTAACTGTTATATAAATGTAAAGTATAACAACCTTGAACAATTAGAAATATCCTGTTTTTTTTCATCTAACAGTACATAATAAAATTATAGTATAGTCTTCAAAGATTTGTAATAGTCTTAAAACAACCAGATGTGTTTTAATTTCTTCATTCTTTCCAGCTTCTCTTGAAGATGATGGGAAAGAGCTGAGGTGTCTTCGATTCGTCATCTAATAGTAACATACCTCTGAATGAATACACCCCCCCAGTATATATAATATGCATTATTTCAGACTCGCACTGTGTTAAATGTACAATCTATCCATTTTGAATGATTAATACTAATATGGCACAGATTGTTTTGAACGTCTAGTTTACTGTTTCATTGTTTTTTCTGAACTTTGTTCATGGTAGTTACTGTGCCTAAACAGGCTCAATATGTCCCAACCACATTAACACGTAGCAAAAACATTGTGTGCCTCAAGCTGAACTACTTCAAGGATGGTGATTGTAGCAAATCATACAACTGATAAACTGCTGATATTCACTTGTAAGCGGTGACAATCTGCACCACGACTTGAAGTCATCAGAAAGGACAATCACAGCTTAGCGACATACCCTACATAGTGAATGAAGATTTTCATTGCAGCCCCGCAGTGATGATGTGTTATGCAGGGGAAATGAATGTGTCATCCACACATGGTTAAGTGTTGATTAAATTTTTTTTTTATTTGCACTTTTTATTTTACATTAACACAGAAAACTGATACTTAAACAGACATATCTAAAATAAATGTGAATAACTGATGCACATTGTTAAACCCTGCCCTCATTCTAGCATCTTTATTCATTGTTTGCATCATTGTTTATACAATGTTCTGTTACTCATCACTGTAGATTATTGAGAATTACCACAATAAATGTTTTATTTGTGAATTTATGTGTTGACACTCTTTTTCTCATGTATAAACTAGTCAGATGTTACACATTGTCTCCAAATATGCCACAGAACTGTTTCATCCTATTAGAGCTTCATTATCTTTATTTATAAAAGCTGTGCATGTCATACAAATGAAGACTCTTCTGTTTAATGACTTTTTTGAGAGTTAAGACTTAGTGGAGATACATTTTCATCACTGGAACCATCATTTCAGGTTTGTGTAATAATAAACAGCAGACTGGAACCATAGGGTCCATTAACAGTTAGGGTGATAGGGTCCAAACAGCAAACTTCTAACATTACCCCCTGATTTTCTCAGAGATAGTATTATTACCCTAAACATTTCTCTTAGGTGTGAACTTAGTCAGTAGTAGTTCACTATCGGCTCTAGAGTGGCTTTGTATCTGTTATGCTAAAATAAGAAAATCCTTTTTTTGTTGCAGTAGCATGTACAATTAAATTAGATTTTCTTTGTATAGCACCAAATCCTAACATTCATCATGCATTACCTCAAGGCTCATTACATGGTTATTACAGACCCAACAGTTCCTTGAATGAACAAACACTCCATCTGCTTCATTGGGCAATGGATGGTAA